TTGACATTGACCAATCATTCTGACCAATCAGAATGTCTGGTTTGTTTCTTTCTTTGCACTGAATTAACTGAAAACTGCATTCATCTTAACCAATCAGAACTGAGAAATGTTTTCATATATATTATTAGCTCTGAAATCATACTTGTGATTTCAAATCGAATTCGCGCTGTGCGCTTGTTCGATTTTGAAATCATGCGTGTTTTCAGCCCTAATAATATACATGAAAAAGTTTCTCAGTTCTGATTGGTTAACGGATGAATGTAGCTTTCAGTTAATTCAGGGCAGAAGAGAGTTAATTCAGTGCAGTAGAGGGTTAATTCAGTGTAGAAGAGGGTTAATTCAGTGCAAAGAAAGAAAAAAACCAGACATTCTGATTGGTCAGAATGATTGGTCAATGTCAATGTCAAGGTCAATGTCACTTGCAGGGTTTGAATAAATTATTTTTTGCACCTGATGCGCAGGTTTTTCTTCTGTGTAGTTATGAGAAGCTACCTCGTATTTTTTCATGTATATTATTAATACATAATCACATGATTTTCTTGTGCAATTTGGAATAAATAAGCACTTGTAGATTTTTTCAAAGACCACAAATTACACTCACCCTAAGGGCTCATGCAATGTTGTTAGTCTTTGAAAAAATGTACTTGTGCTTATTTATTCCAAATTGCACTCGAAATCATGTGATTACCTATTCAAATTGCACTCCACTCAGTTCAATTACCATTATTTATTGCTTGAGGGAGGTGGGGGGGGGGGTAAGCTTGGATGACCCTTGTAGGAATAATTTCTAGAAGATAAAGCTCACATTTCATGAAGGCCTTTGGGTATCATGTTTCTGAAAGTGTCCCAATTAATCTTTACAAGGATTTGGATAATATATAATCGATATTGGCAGAAGATTTCCTCAAAACTTTCCCACACTGTTGCCTTTATAACAGTGATTCAAAATGTGCCAACAAGTATATCAGAAAGCTTGTTTAGGAGTTCTTAATTAGCTTGGCTTGTGTTGTTTTCATTTCTCACACAGGCCATATTTGATCAACACTATGCTCAGATAGGATTTATTCTGGAAACTAAAAACTAAGATGCTATAAAATGAAATAAAAGTGAAATAATAAATCCTTTATTCAATGGTTTGACTTACAATACAAGCAGACAAATTGCTTATTGCTTGTATTAGTACTCACCTCTGTGGGGCTTGGAAAAATACTACATAACTCACAAAATATCCAAGTCTATTATATATTGAACCGTGAGGTGTATGTATTGACAGAATGATGTGATGAAATGAAAGCCTGTTAGTTTGATTGCAGCCAAAAATTAAATGCTAATGAAAAGATTTAAGAAAAGTTGTATACATGTACATATCCAATCAACCAATGCAGCAAAAGGTAATGATTTTCGTCGGGTGGTGGTGACTGTAAAGTCATAATAATCAGCAAATAGGCTAATATATTCAAATGCACTACACATTATACATGTGCATCTATGACCTTTTGGCTCCACAGAATGTTTTTGGCCTGTTCTTGTCTAAGAAGACACTTGTTCTGAACAGTCCAGTACAATCCATCGTGCATCGAATTTCTTGTACCTTGTGACCTATTTAGACAGCCATGAGTGATTCAAGTGTTCAAAACTGTTATGGTGTTCCAACTGTTCTACTGTAGTATATTAATGAGCTGTTATTTTATAGGTTTGCACCTTACAACCCGGATCCAAAATATTTGAAACAAAAGACAGATAAAGCTAAAGAACTGCTTCAAGAAATAAAAAGCATTGAAATTGATGAGGACAAAATGAAACCAAGAGAAGTCAAGGCACTTTCTCAGGTACAATATTTAAAATGGAGTTACAATATTTAGATGAAACCAGACAAGGTCCTTGTGAAAATGCTTCAAAATAGCCTTTTGCAGGTGGAGGAGGTATGTGAAGTGAAAAATATTCAAACTCAGCCTCACCTAGGCATGGTTGCTTAATCATTCCTCATTCTTGGAATGGCACATTAGACCTCAGTATGAATTTACAAACTTAAGAATGTAGTGTTCTATGCTGCTAAGGAACTCGTAGAGAGAATTTGTATAATTTATTTTTAACTCTATACTCCGATGAGTGACCAAAACAGAATTTCTCCTTACAATATCAATACAATATCAAGAAAACATTATGAAAATAAAGTAAAATATCCTATAGGGGTATTGTTGCTGATTCAGTACCAACTTCTCAGAACTAAAATCATAAGAAATGTATCTTGGAAAGTAAGGAGAATTACTAAAGAGATCCTGGGCACAAAAGGGTTTTTTTTTTTTTTTTAATGTACACACATACATATACAATTTACATTACATTGGCTAATACAAAAAACGTGATACAGCTAAGAAGAAACTACAATACAGTACAATACAGAATAGAGGAATAAAAGAAAAAACAAGTAAAAAAGAATAAAGGACAGAAGAAAAAAATAAGAAAATAAAAAATTACAAAATATCAATCAAAAGGCACCTACAAGTTACTTACAATCTACATTATTACAGTAGAACTTACGTATAGCTATAGATATATCGTTTCGAGTCTTTACTTCCTTTTTAAAGTATTGATTTTTCGAAGGGGAGAAGCAGAATTAGTGAAGAGCACATTTCTCTATTTGCCATTGCATCAACATTTTATTTTGGAATTCTTTTGAAATTGGTTTTTTCTCAAGACACTTACAGCTGTGGACATACTGTTTCAAAAGAATAACAAATAAGTGTAGTCTGCGTCTTGGGTATTCTGATAATTGATGAAAGTCGGGTATTTCATTAAAGGTAATTTGCTCGTTAGAAAGTTCAATTTTGGTCTCGTTTACGTGGTTAAACCACCTTAACGCTTCATAATAAAAAGAGTTTGTCTCGGAGCAATCCAGAAAAGTATGCTCTATTGAATCTAAATTAGGGCAAAAGGTACAAGTTGAATCATCAGTTAATCGAAATTTGTGCAGTTCTTTTTTGGTTACTATAATTCGATGCAATAATCTAAATGAAAACTGTCTTAACTTGTTGTCTTTCACTGATTGATATACAGAAGAAAATTTGTTTTTCCATTCTTTATGAGTATCGGCAAAATTGACTTTCCAGGTTTTGATGCCAGTTGGTTCTACTGTGGGGCTTTTATTAAGTATTTTATAGTAGTGTTTGCAGCGCATGTGTGCCAAATCTATGAGATTGCTTCCAGGAAACAAAGATATCGTAGTAGTGTTCAGTAGCTCATGCAAGGGAGCTTCACATTCCCTGGGTTTTTTCTTCAAGTCAGTTGGAATAGCTGCTATGAGTTGGAAATAGTGGAAATAATTTGTTTTTATGTTGAACTTATTTTGAAATTGTTGGAATGTAAGAAAGTTTCCATCAGCATTTAGGATATCTTGTAGAGAGAGGATGTTCTTCTTAAACCGAGATTTCCAGAAAAGCGTATTTTTATCAATAGTTATTTCCTCGTTATTCCATAGCAGGAATTTGCCATACGTAAATATTTTCGTCTTATCTTTAAACTCTTGAAAATTTTTTAAAAGCTCCCGATAGAAAGTAGGTAAACCATTATTTATGGAGGCGGCATTATAGTTGCATTTAAGAAGGAATTTTAATCCCCCATAAGTATTGAAATAATAATTTGGAATTGCTTTCCACAAGTCGGTGCTGCTGCTTAATAACCGACTTATCCAAGCTAGGCGCTACAATTTTACTACTACAGAAAAGTTTATGAAATCGAGACCTCCTTCCGCAAGAGGTTGGTACATGACCGTTCTTCTTATTTTGTCTTTTTTGTTTTTCCACAAGAATGAAAAGAGCTCTGTTTGAACATTTTTTTATTATTAAAGGTGGAACAGTCTGCATGGATGCTGCATAGACTAACTGAGATACTCCTAACATTTTAGCTAATAATGATCTTCCGTATAGCATCAAATCTCTGGAAAGCCATAGATTTAATTTGGTTTTCACCTTTCGAATCCTGCTAAGAAAGTTCTTTTCGATGTTTTTATTTTGATTGTACGATAGAAACATGCCTAGAACTTTAATAGGGTTCTTTGTGCTTTTAAATTCTAATATATTCGAGTTACTGTGTTTCATTGTACCCAGCCACATTGCTTTAGTCTTTTTCTTATTTAACTTTAAGCCTGAGACGGTGCCGAATACTTCAATTGTTTGGAGATGCGATTTAAGAGAGTCCGTGTTGTTAGTTCTTATGGTTGTATCGTCTGCAAATTGAGAAATTTTTACTTCTTGGTTGTTCGGTAAATATATGCCCTCGCAGTTCCTGTTTTGGCGTATCTTAAGGGCTAACAACTCGACTGCAAGAATAAATAAAGAGGGGCTAAGTGGACAGCTTTGGCGAACTCTTCTTGTTACTTCGAAATAGTTTGTCATAAATCCGCCATTTACACGAAAGGGTTATTTATGGTGGCCTAGCAGTGCCATAAGAAAATATACAAAATATAGATGTTGTAGTTCAATTTCATCCTTGGTTCATATTTTATTTTCCTTTGTTCCCAGTCATGTTAATGTATGATAATGAGTTTGAAACAAAGGGAAATAAAATTTGAACCAAGGATAAAATTGAACTACAACGTAGACATGGTTTCACTTTTTATTTGATTTCTTTTCATTTTAACTTTTTTTCGGTTTTATTTTAAGAAAATTTTATTTCATTTTGGTTTAATATAGATTTAGTTCCATTTTTTCGGCATTGTTTTGAGTTTAAAAACAAAACAAAACTGAAACTAAACTGAGTCCGTGGCCTAGGAGTGCCATAGACCATAATGCAATTGGGGCATGCATCAGCCATACCCACAAGCTCGTTTGCATATAGAAGAAAGTTTTGTGCAGTTTTACAGTAACTATTTTGTCTGGACACCTTGAATTATGTCTAGATGAAAGAACAAAGTGGACTTTGCCAAAATAAGAGAAAATGTTGCAAAAAACGATTACGTAAAGAGGATAATGACACAATGGAATACATGACAGTGCAAAGGCTGTTGTCACATATCCAAGGGAACTACCAAAAGTATTCACGAATTGGTGCTTTGACAAGTGTGCCCCTAATGCTAGAAATGACAATTGAGAACATCAAGAAGGCATGTAAACATCATTTCAATGTTCTTGAGGGCATTAGCTGTGACATTTTAGAAGGACAAAGGGGCCCTTCCTGGAAAGAAACAAGCCAAATCACCAACCTCAAGGTTATTCATGTGCGATTTATTAAAATCGGTGATGATGCAGATAACAGTGAAAAAGATGAAGTAGAAGTGCGCACTGTTAAATCAGAAAGGGTTTCTTCAATGAAGTTATCTAAGCCTGCCTGATGGCCACTAAAATAGCATTATCAGTACCTCTCAGTAAAATGCTATAACTTGGTAAACTCCTCAAGCCATCTGTGGACATACAGACCATACAGATAAAGATACCTAAAGGAAACCACTGAGTTGTGCTCTGTGATTTCAAGAACACTTTGTAGAAGTCCCAGTATTGATATCTCATTTGTAGTATTCCCAATGTTGCTGCCAGCTGACCCTATAGTGTGAAGTATCACTCAACAATGAGGGGCCTGATTAAGGGCCCACTGAGCTTGAACAGAATGCCACAGTTGATTTGTTCTGAATATTTACCAAACCACATTAAGTTTTCTGTGAAATAAGTATCAGTGCTTTTAAGCTGTATAAAAAGCTCACAGCTCGTGTTTTATCAAGGATCAAAACCCTCAATGACTTTTCATCTATTGCATAATTCATGATGGCAATTATGCCTTATATCACTGTCTGACAGTGTCTTATCATACCTTTAGATTCACATAAATACTCAAAATAAAACCTTCCTACAACTTTAGGATCATTATTTGTGGTCCACACTCAAGAAATTAGCCCATCCACTGTAGGTATCCATTCCCCCATAAACACACAATGGAAACATGGACTTCTGGTATCCACATAACTTATCATGGCCATTGCAAGACATAGTATAGTCTATGAAAGTCAAAAAAGTGAACTAAGTGAAAGATTAGAAAATGTCCAAACTCTCAAAACACGAGCTTTAGTATTTTTTTGGAAATAACACCCCTTGCCCTTACCTTCCAGGGGGGAAAAATTGAAACTGGGTTTGTTTGATAAAGAATATTTAACGATAATAATAATAATAATAATAATAATAATAATAATAATATGATAGCAACTTAATACTTACACCTGAGACCAATGCATTTTTCCTTTTTGGCCTTTTTAAAACTCCCACCCCACCTCTTGAGTCATGTCCTTCTGGTTCTTGTTGTACCATTATCCCATGGACTACATCACGAGGAACGTTTAACTCATGAATTTCACGAAGTTTTTGCTGCATCCGTCAATAACCCAAGAGTTTTCCAGGACCTTGTAATTCCTCTTGGACAGCCTCACGAATTTTTTCCACGCTGACTTCATAGTCTGTATACTTAATATCAAAATATTGAAGTCTTCTGGCAAAACTTCATAAGCTTCACACATACATGGGATAATGCTGAAAAAAGGGAACTAAATCTATATTGAACCAAAATGATGGAAATAAAATTTTCTTAAAATAAAACTGAAAAAAAGTTGAAATGAAAAGACATCAGATAAAAATCAAATAAAAATAATTCTTTTAAAGTGAAAACACATCTATATTTTGTATATTTTCTTATGGCACTGCTAGGCCACCATAGTTATTAGAAACAGGAAGAATACCTCTCAAACCAGAAATCAATCTCACTTTTAAAATTATTATTTTCATAGCCAAGACAAGGCTGTGCTCTAAGAAAAATTGAAGGGAGCCCAGTGCTCTGAAGCTGTCAAATCCAGGGTACCCGGCATATGCTTTTTTATGAAAAAACTAAGATTCCTGAGTCACCCAAGAGCAAAAGTAAGGCGCCAGGGGCCACTGGGTGCTTCTCGACCACAGCCCTGTTGTAACCATTGTTATTTCTCTGTATTAATGTGCATAGTCAGACTAAGAATGCATATTTTTCAGCAGTTGAATACTAACAGTGCCATTAAAACAAGAATAAATTATGATACTGTATTTGTTTGCCTATCAGCCAAGTTATTTTGGGGGGAGCCCTAAATTGTGTGATGATAATTTTGGTCAGTGGTTCTTAATCATGATTTCCCTTTCAGGTTAAGCATTTTCTCCAGCATACATTTGGTGCTCCATACAGTGAGAATTACTATGCGGGAGACTGGATGCTGGGCCCTGATGTATTCTGTTGGCAGCCAATTTGTGGACTTTACAGCATCATTGGTGCTTATGTTCATTATGTTAGACCCAAATCTTACAAGGATGTGGAGGTAGTTATTAGTACTTTCAAAAGTCACAAGACTCCAATTGATCGTTATAGGTATGTATGCATGTATTAGAAGTGATCTATAGGTGTTTTTTTATCAGTAATAGTAATTTTTTAAATGGGATGTAGGTCCATTATAGGTTGAATCCATACCTGTATTTTTAGTCAGTATTTTTTTTTTATACTTTTGAATTTTTTGTAGGGACAATCTCAAGTTAGGTGTGAAAGCTGGGATGATACGCACAGTTATTGACTGTCAAGCTGGTGTGGATGCTCTGAAGGAGAAATTCCTTCAGCTTTCACTGGCTAATAATGCTGAAGGTATCCTCAGTGAAGACTTTGTGAAGAAGTATATTTTGAACTTGCACTACCTAGCTAAACTGGAGGATGGCGTGGAGCAGAAATGGTCCAGTGCCCACGGTGGCATGAGTGTGAATGATTCACTAAAAGAAGCATTGAAAGAAGGTGTTGGCCAGCCTTTGTTAGATCTGATAAACTACCTTGAGAATGAGCATAAAAAGCACTGTTTACCAAATGATTTTGCAAGTGGTTTGGCCAACTTGCCTGTTGATTATGTGTACACTGATGGTGTTGCCAACAAAAGTCAACCCACGACAAAAATCCTGCCTACTGGAGAGAAGTTGAATGGCAAAGAATCATACAAAATGATTCTTTCATATTTTACAACAACTGACATTTCACCTGAGGAGATTTTTGCTGAAGGAGAGAGACAGTTGGATTTTTTCTACGGTCAGGTAAGTTCACCTGCTCATGCACTCTCCAGAGTGACAAAGACAAAAAGAGAGGAAAAAGAGAAAGATCTCTTATCCAGGCCACTGGATTTGTTAAAGGGTGAAAGTTTCTAAAGAAACTGTGGTGCTGCAAGGTAGCTCCCAAATAAAAGGTTCTGTTTCAAATGTGTTTTAAAAAAGGCTTTACTTTGATCTTATGTCCTGTGTAAAAGCATTTTGATATTGGTCAGCATGGAGATTTTTTTTCTTTTTCATGAAAATGACCTGAAAGGAATTTCTCTGTGCTACATTAGTGCGTTCCTAAACGGAAATATGATGAGAAGATAGAAAATTATCAAATTGGGGACAGTTTTTTATTTATCCTCAAGTTCTCTGAGTTAATATTGTGAGAAATGTGAGGCAGACAGTGCTGAGAATTGATATTCAGATCTTAGAAGTGAAGAGGTTATTCGTGTGATTCAATGCATCCTGTTCCTAGAACGTTACATTTTTTTTGTATTTCAGGTAGTGGATATTGCAAGAAAGTACACAGGGAAATCAAATAAGGCAGAAGCTATTCAGGCATTCCGCAATGTTCTGAACTCCACCAGCATGTGGCATAACAATGGCTCTTTTCCCAAAAACGAATCGGATAAAAACGCTTTCAAGAAATGTACAAGTCCTGAGACAGCTGCTCGGTTCTGTCCAGTGAGGTGGAAGGCTGTTAACAAGTATGAAATCTGAGTTAGAGCAAGTTTCGGTGGAGTGGAGAATTGCCTTGGTTTTGCTTCACTTCGCGCGGTCTGTGACTGGTCTAGAAAACTCGCGCCACTTTTTCTAAACATCACGTGACTTGGGCCATTCGCTGTTTCCCGCTCTGAGATCGTTTGCTGGTTGTTACTTTGAATTCTCATTGGCTGGTCGTGATGTTTTCCCTTCTTCTGATTGACTGTTGTGATTACTATTGTTTTGGTTTTTACGACACAAGTCCCACTCAACAAGTATTATGTACTTATCGACTATGTAGAAGGGCCGAACAAGTGCACTAGGATCGGAAGGCTTTTTCCTGACCAGCTCTTATCTCTTTAACTCGTCCGGCCCTACACATTTCAGCTTTTACTGTGGTTTTCAATGGGGTTGCGCGAGCGGGGCAGGACGGGTCAAACGATAAAATAGCATTGCCACCAGTAGACACCATTTCTTAATCTCAGCCACTTAATATCCCAAATGAGAAACTTCTGAAATGCAGACACTTTCTTATCCTCGTGCTGGGTTTCTTTGCCCACTTAAAAGTTAACAAAAGTATTTTTGTTGTAAGTTTAGCTTTTCTGTCACTTTCTAGTCGTTCACTGAATGGAAATTTAAAACCCTAACCTTGAATTGTTGTCTATTCCCAGGTGGGCGCGGTACTGTCGTCAAGTAATGGGCATGCTATATCCCAAGATCACAAAGGCATTCTACTTTACTGGTCCCAAGAACACAGTTCCAAACTGTCCAGTAGAGATGTTACCACATTACAATCCTTCCAATGGCGCTCAGTTTTTTATGCCGTCTGATGCAGAATGTTCCAAACCCACTTACTTTGGTCTTCCGTTCTTTCTGAAAGACTACGGCCCAATCTTCCAGGAGTGGTCCGTTACCGGTCACGAGGCCAGGCCTGGTCACCATACTCAGGTGCAAGGTAAGGTATCGGCATAGTTCGCTTGTTTTATTCAGCAACTTCGAGTATTGCTACTCCATTTTAATGGGGAGTTCAGGTTCCGCTGAAAGCTCTCTCCCCCGCATCTTTCAGTGCGCAGCCAAGTGCGTGAACCAGAAGGCTACCACTTGTTCGAAAATGGAGGGGGCTTTCCTTGAATAAACAATCCTCACTGTTTTTTTTTTTTGTTTTGTTTTATTTGTTTTTTTTTTTTAGAGTTTTCCTTCTCTTCCCCCAACATGACAATAACAAGGCGAAGATAACACTCTAAGAATATCTTAGCAAACAACTCAGAGCGCGTTACAAAGCGCAAGATTAATTACCAAGTAAGGTTTTTTTTTTATTTTTGGATCTGCTTGGTTTAGATGGTGGTGCAGTATTTCGAAGATCGGAAAACGAAGACCTGGACAACAATATTATCCCGGATGACGTTGATTTCCCACCGGTACATCACTAGGATTCGTTCCAGTTGGAGTATTAACTCATATATTTTGGTTTGCTTTCAGGCCAAATAGAGCACTTTGCTGACCAGTGCGGAGGAATACCAGGCTGGCTGGATAACAACACATACTACACCGCTTTCACTGAGGGCTGGGGATTATACAGTGAAAATCCTGTGCTCTCTGACGACACGGATACATACAAAGACAACCTACTACAAAAGTATGGCATGGTCAAGTGGCAGGTATGTGTGAAACCTGAGTAATTTTAAGGCTCCCATCTACCCATTTATCCTACACATTGAAATAATTTTTTATTTTCAGTCTAGTGCCCACGAAGTATGCATTGCATCACCAACATCTCTAACTGAGGTGGTATTCCTGGGAAGTGCATCTCTGATATGCATCATTTATTGATTATTCTGTGAGCGCGCGGTAGTTTTCAATAAATTACTAACCCTTTCCCTGCCCCCCTAATAGTTGATAAACTGGAATAAAAGCGAAAAAAATAATTGTCTTACTAGAAACTACAACAGAACATCGTGCCAAAACAGTGCAGTGGTGAAGAACCACTGACTTCTGTTTTTCCGAAGTATACTTGCTCAGATATCATGTTCCTAAGCCAATCAAAACTCCGTCTGTTTAATTCCGTGATTCAGTGATGTGGTTTTTAAAAAAAATAGGCCTCAAAGTCCCAGTGGCGGATCCAGACTTTGAACTAAGGGAGGATCCGGTTTTTATATTTGTTGTCTGCTTGTTTCCCTGTTTTTTTCGTTTTTCTTGTTTTTGTTTTGCAGACTTGGCGTGCAGTACGACTCATTGTTGATACTGGACTACATTATCGAGGTCTCAATAGGTAAGTTCATCCTACTGTTGTTTTGTTTCTGCACTGGCCTTAGGAAGGAGAAACTTAACCACAAGTCTATTGCTAAGAACGCGGAAAGGCTCATTATTTGTCAGTGGTTTCCCTCGGAGCTTTGTGCCGGTCGCGGCCGCTCGTCAAACATGGCGGGAAAATCAATCTTGTAAAGAAGTGACACACCAAGTATTGTCGTAGCTCGAAAAATTTGAAGGGAACATGGACCGGATCGAACAAACTTAAAAAACTTTGATGACCACGGGAGAAGAGGAACCGCAATGAAGGAGGTTTTGAGATCTCTTAAGCAACAAGCTTGTAGTTAAGTTGCATTGCTCCCTCCTTAAATGCGTTATTTGAAGTTTGAAGGAATGCAGTTTGAATGAAATATCTCGATTTTTCCCGTTTCTCTCGGAAAGCCCTAAAGTTTTCATGGAGCTTCCCCAAACTCGACTTCAAGATGCTTTGTGTGTAGTTTGCACAAAATCTCTCTTATTTTTCGTAGTAATCAATATTTTTATTCCTTAGAACTGAAGCCCTTGCGATGTTTGAAAAATATGCGTGGGACACTTCAGATTTTGCCGTAAAGGAAGTTACTCGGTACCAGAGCGTGCAAGGCCAAGCAACGGCGTACATGCTGGGGAGACTGGCGCTAATGCAGCTGCGTAACAAGACTAAGGAAGCCTTGGGGAAGAATTTCACTCTTCAGGATTTCCATTACCAGGTGTTAAGCCAAGGGTCCGCTCCGCTGCCCTTCCTACAGTCTTATATTGATAGGTACATCAAGTGCGCGAAAAAGGAACTTGGGGAGGAAGAGTGCAGCTACGTGCTCAAACCGGTCAAACCCGAGAAAACCGCTAAAGCTAAAGTGTCTGCTGAGCAAATGCCCCCCACGATTGAAAGAAGGCACTATGTTTAGCAAGAGCAAACTGTTATAGACAGTTTTTTGGTGTAAGATTTATATTAGATCGTCTATCGATTATATCATTTAATTGTTTGAGATTTGTTTTGTTGATGTTGTTGTTGGTTTTTCATGCTCAGTAGACCACCTAACGCACATTTGTAAATTTCAGGAACTTTTTATTGATGACGCTTTGTGAGGTACTTATTTTCGTGATAACATATCATCTGTTCAGTTTGTAAACAACCGATGGCTTAGTAACGGAATGAAACATCTCTTCTTCGGGGGGGGCGGCTGTTTTCGAAAGACCGTCGTTCAGCGCTAAATCCAGGATTAAAAGTTAATCTGTGTAAATTTCTCTCTTCTAACAGCACATATTAGAGAAAAGGGTTTTAAGCAGTGCCAGCCCAACGTTAAGCAAAAATGAAGAAAGTAGAGAAGAAATGGCAAACCTGTCAGCAAATCAAAATGCTCTGTCCAAGATTCGCACTAGTTCTGGGTTAACTTAATCGTCTTTTGAACATGCCAGCCCTTGAGCAGATTGTCGGTTGTCGTGATCCAGTTGTAAATGATACTATAAAAATTAAACAAACCCTCAAGAGTACCCGCCTGTTCTTTCGTGCTTCTTAAATGTTGTTTGTTTGTTTGTTTTCACGTAATCGCTGGTCCGTCACGCATTATCGTTACTCGGCTAGCGTGGACAAAGAGTCGATACATGCGATGGGAAGCGCGCAGAGTAATGTTCCCCTCCCTTACCCACTGAACTACCTAGTTTTGACTTGTTCTTCGAACGGTTAACTGATTTTCGCTCACATTGTTTGTCGCTGTGATGGCAATTCAGTGATGGAGAGCGCATTCTCATCAATTGATTACCTCTAAAGTCGTTTTCGCGGTTTGAACCCCTGTGAGTACCGGTTTAGATGCCATGAAAATTCCACAAAATGGAGTTACTCTCACATACCACCCATGCAATTACGTTTGTCAGTGTCATTTTTCCTTTTCTTTAACCAAGAACCTTTAACTCTCTTTTCTTTTGAATAAAAATTGAACCTGCGAGCAGGCCCTCAGTATATTAGCGCTGCGGCGCGAGTGTTTCTTTGCCTGCGAGTAAGCGAGCCGGCGAGAAACTTGCAAGGGATCAGGTAACAGTGCCAGACCACTGGCAGATCTCTCGTCGTGTAGCTTTACCTAAGACTTAGCTTTCTCACCGCAGCGAAAGAACACTCGTACTAAAGCGCGATAATCAAGGATTACTCGCAGGCTGTTGAATAACATCTTGATTCTTCATTCTATTATCAGGCTCATTAAATTTGTTTAACAGTAGTGATTACAGTGCCTAAAATGATGGACATTTCTTCCCCCTTTGTGTTATTTTCTTCTAGCCTGAAGATAATATCCGCTCAACCTTTAGCTTTACACTGGGGGTGTTTTCCACCCTACCCGAGGGTGAAATTTAAGCTCTGACCATTTAGAACTGGTAAAAATACGCAAAGCTAGTGAAGTCGCAGAAAAAATATGGTTGGGGACTGGAGATAGATTCAGTAACGGGATGGCTCCAAAGACCTCCCAAACGTCACGGAGGGGTAGAAGATTTTAATTTTTAGTTAAATTCGATTTTGATTTAAAAGCACAATCCATCGGCATTTTGATGCTTTATTGAACGTCGACACACTTTTAATCTAGATTCTTGTAGAACAGGTTAAACTATATGAAAGCTTCAAATTATCAGCAGTCTTTGGACATATACTTAAAAAGGATTTGCTTCACAAAGTTTAGTAGGAAGGACCTATCCGGTGCAACCCGTATTTCTGATGAAAATTTTTCAAAATAGTCCTTTCGGCAGTACAGGGTATAATTTTGTTATTGCATGATATGAATTCTTTCTTAAAATGAGTGCCCAGAGAACGCCCCTCCCCTTTTTAGAGAGGGGAGGAGGGTATTTATCAGTTCGTTTTCCATATTCAGCAAAAAAAAATCGGTGGTCCGCTTGATTGAACCAGAGAAATACATTCCGTGAAGTTTGCCGCAATTTGTTGCTACATTCCAAAGCAAACAGTAAATTCCGTTCAAATATAAGTGATTTTCGACAGCATAACGCCTAATTCCCCTGGATTAAATTTAATCGGATTACATTAGACTGGATCTCCGAAAAGGCGCCAAGTTTATCCTGACTAGACCCCCACTAAGTAAAACATCTCGTTGAGCAGAGTCAGTTTAGACAGAGAGTAATTAATTTGCATATCGGCAATATATGCAAAATCGTGACAAGACAAATCGTTCATCGAACAGGCAATTTTTTACGCGTGACTGGCTCTGTGTTTGTCTCAGTTCGATACACAAGGTTTCTCCACAGTTGTGGTTTTTCCCTCAAATGCCCTTCACACACCATACCCCTGCCAGAATTAGCCAACCTGCATGGGCTAAGTGAAGGAATTTTGATGGACAAGGTATTCTATTACACTACTAGATACTTGCTTTCGTGCGCAGAGTGCACATCAACGTGAGAAATCTTCCATCGCGTTGTAAATGAAAGCTTGCTATTCAGATCATACAAGGAATAATTTCCTCTGTTTAGGAAATGAGGAATCCTACAGGTAGTCATCGCGATACTCCACTCACTGTCAGCTTTCCAGTACCAAAGAAGGCAGCGAACAAACTTCGTAGCTTGGCGATTTCCAAGGATCGCCGTCTGCTAGATCTGGGTGTTTTAGCTGTGCAGATCAATGAAGGAGAAAGCATTGTTCTTGGGATTAAACTGGGGAGGCGAAAGCTGAAGAGAACGGAAGTGGAATCGGACAAAATTATGGGAAATGCCTGTAGAGGACGAGTAACAAAGAGGCATTCGTCGTTGCGTAATTTGGGAACTGTTCACCATATGCCGACATCTTTATCGCTTGCAGACAAACCGGTAACCGCGCAAATCACTTCGTTCTCTCCAACATCTCATAGCGACCAGAGGAAAGCAAGCCTAAGAGCAGGGAAATCTGATGGAGATGCTCTGGCAAATGAATTATTCAGCAGCATGATCTTGGGCTCAAGCGACAAATCTACAAATGGTTCCAATCTTCAGCTATCGGGTTACAAAACTCCCAATGACAGTAGAGGTCTGTCAGCGAATGGAGTACTAAGTTCTTCCAAAAACACAGTATCGCGGCTGAATATATCGCAGAATAATGGTGACTTAGCGAGTGGTAGAGGTTCTTCAAGTTCAGAGTCAAACTTACGGAAGTCGAGTTACGGGACTCGTCGCAGTAGCCGCGAGACACCTCCAAGTCCTGTGGTGCTTTCTGGAAGCAGATTTTTAGCTGATCGGCGTTTATCTTCTCCAAACAGCCAAAGAGCCAACAGTGCGAGTCCTTGCTCAGAATCAAGTAGTACTAGCTCTGATGAGAATCTGGATGAAGAAGTTCATCAGCTGATTTACAACTGCTATATAGATCAAAGCAAATACAGTGCTGCAGACATGTTAAAACAACTAGCAAGAGCACATTCAGGCACTAAAGAAACAACCAAGTCTACCATGGGAAACACTTCTGTTTCCTCGTCTGTGGTAAAAACTGTAACTGTCACTCCAAAATCTAGCTCACATAGTGGTATTTCATTGGGGCAGCCCAGAATCTCAGAGAACAACAAGAGGGCAGCAATCACTGGCAGTTACCGTGAGCATGTGAAGAATATCCGTTGTTATTCACTCACATCTCTCACTACCAGTACAGTAACAGTGAACTCTACTTTGAATGTACCATCTAGTAAAAATGCACAAGCAGATACATCTCAGAGTTGCAGAGCTAGTATCATAACTGACTCTCTAAGTTTTGGGGAAAGAAATTTACCAACAAAACCACCCACTACTCTCTCTACACCATCAAAGCCTTGTTCATCTTCCCAGACACCAAACATTCTCACAAGCTCTTCTGAGACAATGTCAGCCTATTGTGAAGGGCGCAAAGTATTGTGGTCAAGTGCAAATGTTTTTCCAGTCAAAAGATCAACTTTAGGATCTTCCATAGAAACTTCATTTAGTGAAACTGCAACTTCACTTTTGCAAGCATCAAAAGTCAGCTCACCATCCATTTCTGCACAGATTGATGCCACTATACCTTCCCAGACAACTACATCAGTAACCCTTGAGACAAAGAATGGCATCCATATCTCTAACAAAGTTCCTGGAGAGGAACTGGCCAAAGAGAGCAAAGTGGTGCCTAGTGATTTGAAAACAGTAATAGTGAAAACTCCAGCCTTGGCACTTGACTCACAAGAATCAGTTACGGATAGTCCACAAGTTGCAGAGCCCCCAACAACACTGCCTGTCACAAATGTTCAAACAACAGTGAGCCAAGGAACCAAATACGTGCAAAACCTGACTCTTGCAAGGTCAACCTTGCCAGCTGCTAATGTTGTTATTGCTGGAACAAACACTCAAACAACTTGGTCCAATCAGCAAGTTTCTCCAACATATATTTTGGGTGCCCAAACACAGTATGGTATCTACCCAGCAATGTACAACACAGATGTTAACAACAATCAACTGACACAGCAGGCAGTACCAGCAGGATACCCTTTGAATTATGTGTATCCCATCGGATTTGTTTACCCCTATCTGTCAGTAGCACAACCCAGTAGTGCAAAAAATCCTAATGGCGAGAAAGTCAAACAGGAGAAAGGAGACACAGATGTGGAGAAATCAGATACATCTGTTTTAGATGGAGCTGCAATGATACCAAGGAATGAATCTTCAACGGCAGTTCATCAAGGAAGCAGTTTGAACTCAGCTGATTTGGTTTCAACCAACAGTAACACAGCTCCCATGCAGACGCAGTTTATCGACCTTGCAAGCTCCATGAGATACTGGCAACAACTCAATTTGCTGTACAGAAATAGACTGCAAGCACTGACTCCTGGCAGCCCCTCAAATGTTGCTACACTGCCCTCCAGTGAAGGAAATACAACCTCAGCAGCTGTGATATCAACTTCTGATTCAAATTCAGTTGTTTGTGGTACAGCAGCACAGTCTAGTTTGCAGGAGTCTGCATTTTCTAAGTCAGAACTGTCACATTCAAACATCTCCAGGGGTTCTTACTCTGAAATCTTGAAGAGTGTAAGACCCAAAGAGGGATCAGCATTAGAACAAAGTGAATTAAAGGACTCAACCAATGACAGACCTTCAGTTATTGTGGCAGCTTCATGTAAGGACAGTACCATTAAGATGGAAAACAATTGTAATAAGACACAGTTTGAAGGCCAAAAGCTTAAAGAAATGAATGAAACATTTTCTCCCAAATTCCACTCTGGAAAGCTGCAGCACTTTTCTGAGGAAGATCTGGCAGAAAGAAGGAGTCGTGTTTCAACTCCAACTCTTAGCTTTGTCCATGATAGCTCCATAGCATATGTGAACATTGGGAACAGTAGTGGTAATGGGCACAGCCAGGCAAGCTACAGTGGGAATCATGTGGGAACCAGAAGAACATGTAAGTGGAACTTTTTAACTCCCAGGACCTCATAAGTAATTCTCCCTTTTGCAGTACCGCTCTGATATATGTTAACCAAAAAATGCACATAAAATGCACCTATAATTGCATGCAAGTGTGGGTAATTAAACATATGTGTGTCCAAATTTTGAATTTGCATGCATAAGCTTGACCCATGTGCCTCATCAGTATGTATGTGCGGGGCCTTCTGTTTTTCCATTGTTGACAAGTAATTGTTCTTGATGTAAATACTGTATATGACTACAAGAACATAGCACCTTACAGCTGATTTATTTTTGTAAGAATTCTCAGTTCCTGGTTGCTGATTTACTGGGAGATGTAACTTGCCAATCACTACTAGGAGTTTAAGACTGAAAGAAGTAGTATGGTGTTGTTAGAGTGCAACTCAATGTTTCAGTGTTATGCAATGAAAACCAAGTTAATCACAGTGAGAGGTTTTTTTGTCATAAAGAGCTGATTTGATGACTAAATAGCCTTCTATCCTTTATACACTAACGCCAGTATGGATATTCTCTGTGCTACTGTGAAAATATGAATATCATGTACTTGAACTGGAGATTGATACATAAAGATCAGAGTGATTATTGCAGCTGTGAACAATAACAGTAGTGAATAATAAAGCCTGAAAAAAAAAAAAAAAAGAAAAAGAGGCTTGTACAAGATTTGAACCCATGACCTTTGCAATACCATTGCCTTACTCTCTGCACTCCACGTATATTTCCTAAGGTGCTGACAAGGAGAATTTGTTCAACAATCAAGAGCTTGTTTAGTTGGTGATCATTTTCTTTACTCTCAAGACCTTTAATGTTTGTTTCAGTGAGCTTGAGAGGTTGTTGATACCTAAAGGAGAAATTCTAAGCATGTTTTTGGCTGGGAACTGGAGCAAATTAAATGTAGAGCTGAACATAGCAAGCTCTAATTTTCTACACATTCTAATAACTAAAGCATTTTTAAACATTTTTAAAGTCTAACGCACGGCATTCACGGAAAACAGCTTTAGTGTTATAGTATGTAGTTTTAATTTTAAATATCTTAGCGTATGTGATATGTATTTTTATAGGCTGATGAATTGATCGTGTCTAAATAAAGATTACAAAAAGCCATAACTACTTCAGTGTGAAAATAAAGTAATAAAGTGGGAATATATTTTCAATTTTGTGGGGAGTTGATTTAATTTAATGTTAAATGTGTCCTTGTACTAAAGTGAGATGCAACACAAATGAAGATCAGTCCATTTCAGTAATTTTTTCTTTTATTATTTTAAAACAGCTTTGGGAGCTCATGAGGATTCTGTCATTCGTCCCGCAAAGAGGAAAAAAGCCAAGAGGTCATTATAATATCTCTGTTTTAACATATAGATATATTTTTCATACCCTAAAACTTATCAAAACCTCAAATATACTCACAAAATCAGTTTTATAGGCAGTGTTATAGGTTTAGAGGAATTATGGAAAGAGGGCTTTTGGTTCTACTTTATATCTGAGCTCAAGAATTTGAGATCACAAGAATTTTGGCTGGATATCTTTGTATCTAAGCTTGAGGAAGTCTTTTGTGTTGAACATGTACATGAGAAAACACTGTTTTTTGTTATGTATAAGTTCACACAGCAACGAGGCGGACAATCAGACATGGTTTGATGCTACTCTGGTTTAAAGATTTAATGAAAGTAACCAAAATTACATTTCATTGACCCACCATTGCATAGTGCCTCCATCAGGGGTGATCTGATCATTGCAACAAGAGGCCCTTCTACATGCTCACTAGTTAGCGGCCATTTTTTCGGACGAGGTGTAAAATAATAGGCATCAGGTAGTAAGCTGCCATCCTCACGATTTAAAGGAGGGCAGGCAGAGTTGATATGCTGCCCATGCTCCTTTAAATGGTGATTATGGCAGCTTACTATCTGATGCCTACTTACACCTCGTCAGAAAAAAATGACATTTACTTAGTGATCATATAAAAGGGCCTCTTGTCAGTTGCAACGATCAGATCACCCCTAATGAAGGCACTAGACAGGAGTGTTGTAATGTTGGGTCAATGAATTATAATTTCGGTTACATTCAATAAATCTTTAAACCAGAGTAGCATCAAACCATGTTTGACTGTTTTTCGTTATTTACTTGCTGTTTGGTTGAAATATGTTGATGTTGGTTTTTAGTTGTAAGTGAATGATGGTCAATTGTTTCTGGCAATTTTTGTAATTTCTCAGGGAATGTATAATTATTAGTTTTCTTTGTTTCTCTGGAAGTTGCATTTTCATTGTGATGTATATCTTTCTAGCAGAGTAACAGGTAAGATATCATCAGGAGTAAAAAGAATTACAACAAGGACAGAGATTTTCACAAAATTAACCAGATCATTACTTCTATAACTGCTTACTCAGAGTATCCCAGCCTTTAAGATCATATTTTCTGAAATCTTCCACTGCTGTAAAAATCCTAAATCATTTAGCTAATAGTATGCATGAAAAAATTATGCTTGTCTGATCAGCTGGAAACTAGTGCAAAGTAGTAATTTTGTTGTAAAGTTGTTGAATTTTCTTGTCTAATTTTCAAAGGAAAAAATGGCAGTCAGTTAGGAGAATACCTCATTATATCTTGCAAGTTAAAGGGTAGTCTCCCTCGCAGCCATTTTTTTGGATGTCAAGCAACGCTCCCTCAAAAGAACAGTGAGATGCGTGACATCCAAAAAAACGGCTGCGAGGGAGACTAGTGAAAGGGTTGAGTCTGTTCTTCCTCTCCATGGTGTCAGGAAGTGTAGCCAAAACAACTGCCATTCTCTAAAGCCCTAAAAGAAGTTTCAAGATCTTTTTTATCTCTGCAAATCAATATATTTAAATAAGTAGTTAAGTTTGTGAATAGGCCATTTTACAGTTGTGTACTTAGTTGCCAAGCCTTTGATTTGGAGTGAGGTTGAAGGTGACCTTGTCTTGATAGAGACCTGTATCTAGTTAGCATGATAACAAAGGGATTTACATTTGAAACGCAGCAAGGTATTATCATAACAAGGTCAACCTCAGCCTCACTCCCATTCAAAGGCTTGGCAACCAAGCACACAACTGTAAAATGGACTATTCTACTAAATGCAATTTACTTCAAGAGAAAAAAAAGGTGCTTTGTCAAAAAGTGAACTTAGTATAGGGTATTTGTTTTCTACTGTAATGTAAGCATAATGCAATAATTCTGTTTTATTTTCTATTTTTTATGAATCTTTTGATCTTTTTCTGATAGGAATCACTATAAATATTGATAAATTGATATGAATATTTTTGTAATATATTGTAGAGAATATTTGGTTAAAGTATCTTTTTGTCATTGCAATTTGAATTGCATGTTTGCATGGACTCTGCTCTTTATGCATGTTGAAGAATTTTGACATCACTAAATAATATGTTTAAATTGATAATGACTTCTTCTGTTACTCCAAAAGTGTAATAGTGTTTACAACATTGTCTCATTATAAAGGTAGTTTCTGTTGATAAATATTTTCTAAAGGACAAAGCATGATTTTGCGCTGTTGCAAAGTTTCTATAATTGATCATTTTGCATAAAGAAAATTGCCTCATTACAATACTATTTTATTATGATTACTCCCAAAGAATAAATGAAAATATTATATTTTCTTTCAAAGAATTATTTTAAAAATACTGTAAGTCACAGTTACGGTGTAGAAAGCATTGATTTGTTGATATTCCCTGTTAGGAGTAAAGTTGACTTTGGTATATAGATTCAAAAGTTACTATGGACAAGTTATTGTTGAATTTAGTTATCCCATTCTTAATAAATGGTGAAAATATCAAACTATGATGGAAGCATTATGTGTGTATGTGAGGGCTTGATGATTTGTTGTGAGGCGAAATTCTTTTTACATTACTTGTCTAAAAATTCCAATAATTATCATCAATTATATTGTCTTAATTGTTAGAGTAATTTTTTTAATAAAAATTTCTCCTCTCATGTGAGGCATCTACTCCTATTTTTGAGAGGAGTTTTTTTTTTAACAAATTAGCTGAGATATGGAGCAATTTAGTTACTATCTTGAATGACTTGGTGGTCGAAAAGGGAGCTTGATGACTTTATCAAACGCTCTATCTTCAGTGTGGGAGTGCTTACCCTTTGATCTCTAAGAGTGACTAGCATCTAATTTCTCCTGACCCCCTCCCCCCATGTTCCTCAACTCTTTGATCCCTAAGAGTGACTAGCATCTAATTTCTCCTGACCCCCTTCCCCCATGTTCCTCAACTCTTTGATCCCTAAGAGTGATTAGCATCTAATTTCTCCTGATAGAGGAAATTAGTATAATTTCAGAGCTGAGCAAAGAGTTTCCAGCAATCTGATTGGTCGAGCGGTTCCTTATATGACGCTATATTAACCGCTCCACGCGGTTTATATAAAATGTTAAAATGTTAATAAATGTTACTAAAATGTTATGATTTTAGAAATTTCTCTGTTGTTCAGCTCTGAAATTATACTAAAACAATTATTCGCCTCAGGTTCGGTGAATATTGTCGAATAATCCCCTCGACTTCGTCTCGGGGATTATTCGACGATATTCACCTCGCTTTCGGCGAATAATTGTTAAATGTATTAACTGAGGCTACATAAAGATTTCTGTTACATGATTGCCTCGTTGAGTAGGAATGAACAGAAGATGTAAATTTGAAATATTTGCTGAAACAAGGGGGTAACAGTCTATATGACCACTGATAAACAAAAGAGAGGATCTGTAATTCAATAACATCATTGAACTTAAGAAGATTGATGGAGGCTCGGAATGGGATTTTGGTTCAGAGAAAGATATTATTCTGATTTCTTTTTTTTGGATAATAAATAATTGTGTTAGAAATGAGGGAAAGGTTAAACCCCTTGCTCTTGGATTTCCGAGTGGACGAAAACAAGATACCCGCCCCTGTAGTTTGCCAACGCACTGGAATATTTCAAAATGACAGAAACGGAATGGTCTAATTTAAATCAAACTAACTGTGATTTTCACTTCAGCAGTCGACAAAAGTGTAAATACCACCACTTTCATGGAAGAATATATACCTCTTAGAAATGAGTGTAAAACAAGCGTGGAATTTACATTTAGCCTCATACAAATTTGTTTCACGAATGGTGCTCTAACAAATGCGAGTTTTGTAAATAGTAAATCACACAAAAGGCTAGTCACCTCAGATTTCTCCATACAAAGAAAAGCATCGAATATACGAAGTGTAATGCTGTGGAATTTCGTGGTTTCTGGCATACCCAATTACTTGTAATGCACGCTGAAATGATCTTAAAGAGACGCCGAATTTGTGGGGGGAGGACGGCGAATGGACCGCGCCCCTTTTTCTCTGTATCTAATTCTTTTTTCTGCAACCAACTGCCTATCGAGTAGTATAATGCGATCAGATTTATATCATATTTGTTTTAAGGTCCTGTGAAAACCGTTTGAATCTTAGTTTTTGCATGACGAGAGAATGTACGAACATAAGGTAGACAGATGATTGAAATTGGGGATACCCAAAACACAGGATTAAACTCTACAAAATCTCGTAAGGGCTCAGATCCTGCTTGGCTAATTTATACACAGAAGAGGTTGAATTTAAGCAAGCAAGCATGGTTCTACTTGAAACATACATGTGAAATTTAGACGTGGCTGCATCGGTTGCATGGTGTACAATGATTCGGAAAAAAAAAGTATGAGCAGTAGTAAGTAGATCGCAATGAGTGCCCTTTCTTTGCCCTCATTATGATTAAGAACCCTAACGAATGTGCACTTATCTGAAACCACCTTTTCGTTGGTGCACGAGCAGAGATCTCCTCTAGGCACCCTGACAGTAGGGCGCAGGCAGCCCAGACACCGTTCCCATACGCAGAAATTTTTCTGAACTCCCGCTCTTTTTTCCAAAATTAAATGCCTACGCTCTTCGAACAATTTTGGATGTGACCCTAAAGAAAACGGTCAAGATTGTTTCTTTTTTAAAAACAGTAAATTATTGCCTCGTTAGGCATATTTTCTTTATTCGAACTATGATGTCCCATGGAATGTAGGAGCGCCTAGTTTGAATGGGGCCTTGGATAGGGGGAGCAGGTGATTACAACGCGGCGCAAGTGAGCATCAACTCGCTCGGCAAACCCTCGAAACGGCTGTTTATCAGTACCTCAAGCCAGTGGAAAGCTAGCAGTCGAGTTTTTTACCGTGAAAATATGTTGCACTTTTAAAAAATTCATCGTCGATGTGGCTGGTTATAAATAATTTGGAAATGAGGAAGGAAAAACAAGAACTGTTGGAGACTTCTGGATTAAGGTAAAATAGAGTAAAGTGGTTCGTACATCAGATTACAACAATACCGCGTGCGATTTTTCGGACGGGTTGTTAGACGACTCGTCAAAAAGCTGCAAGACTAAATGAGCCGTGGAATAGCCAAAACACAGATTCTTTGCATGACAATTCAATTGCAACATGCAAACATTAATACCAATCAAGACACACACGGTTGTTATTGAACATGAGGGACCTACAGGGGTGAGGTCTAGAGTAAGCTATTGTGCGACTGACAAATGGGATCCACGTTCCCCTAACCTATTGAACCCCGCCATTCTTCTTTTCAATTTCATGACCCATTAGACTGAGAGGTAGCCTGAATAGCGCTTGCCAGGGGTGGATCAAAAAGGTTTAAAAGCAAGGAGTTGGAAAATTTGGGGAAAGAGCTCCAGATTGTTTCACACCTACAACATATCACAACGTACGTGGACTGGTGGATTGAAAAGTACCACTTTATTCAGGACAATAAAGCAAATAATCTCCTGATTAGGGCTATTCTTTTATGTAAGAATTGCATTTTTGCGGTCCTTTCAAAGTTAATGCGTGAAAAGATGGTGATTTTATTTCATTTATGTATACTTGCTTTTAAGGATCTCAGATCAGTGTTATCATTTTTCACCCCTACTTGGTAGAGGGTGGCAAAGGGTTTATACGTGACGCGTGTTAAGGCCAAAATTAATATGTGGCGCGTGAATTTTACAGAGAGACGAACGTGATTCGTGAATTTATGAACCAGCGTGAGGCTTGAGTGGCCCCTTGAAATAAACGTGACACGTAAATTTTTCTTTCAGTTCGTGAAAACCTCAAGATTTCCCTTAAACCCTATACAAAAGAAGAGATGTTTGAATTTTTCTTTTTATAAACGTTAAGGATGCGAATTTTTTGAAAATCTGTTCGTGAAACGGGATCAGGACTAGGACTACTCTCCACATCTCTCCCCACCCCTTGGCTGCCCTCTGGGTACCTAACTCGCGAGTAGAGAGGCGAACCCACTCGTGTCTCGTGTAATATATAGATTTAGCCAAGCCTAAGGGAACGCTCATTTTTTACAAGGTATGGGGGGCTGGTGGGATTTGGGGGGATCACCAAAAAAAAAAAAAACCGCCCTAAAGGGGGGCCATCTAAAAAAATAAGGCAAAAAGGGGGGGAGGGTCAAGTAAAATATTTTAGTAATGCCTTAAGATGGGATATGTTTTACTATTCTTCAAATAATATATCCCCACAGAAACAAATGAGAAAGTTTTTAAATCCATTAAAGAATTTCCTTCTGCTTTTAATAACGTTTCCGCAGCTGTAGACTGCATTTTTAAAGCTAAGAAAGTTAATGAACAAAAACAAGGTTTCTATCTTCATATTTACTTCATTTTCATCTCTGTGTTGTTGGAATTTTGAATCTTTTTTCTCATTTATCCTTTTAAGGTTATTTAATACAGTACAGTTAAAATAGCAGTTGCTCCACCAGAATAGCCAAAGCTACCTGCAATCTGCTAAAGGCCTGTAAACTATCTTGAAGAAATAAAGGTACTCTTAAAACATTGATTCTCTCTGCTAATCTTCTTCAAGTTGTTCCAGGTCGCTTGTGCTGCTGTGGGAGTCGCTTTCGTTCTTTTCAGGCAGAGCGTAGTCTTCAGGATACAGGATGCAGTGCGACTTTATCTCTAACCTCCGGCTTGAGGTTTGTCGGATCATTCTGCTTCCTGCCGCATTGCTGAAGTGGTTTGATTGCAACAGCTCTGCAATATATGGTGCATCTCGTCTAAACAGTGATTCTGCAATATCTTCGACATTAACGCAGTCTTCGGGGATGGCCAGGACTCTGCTTGTCTTACGTGGTGTGACTGTTGAAAATGTTGTTTTTTCTTCTGGTATCATGAATAGATTATCAATTTTTCCGCAACACACTGTACCTGTTACAGTTCCACAACGCTAGAGTGAGAAAAGAGTCTGTCCCAGGAAACAACTACTTCTCAATAATTGAGAAGTTCATGCATGAGTGCACACTGCGAAGAAGGGGAGAATTACAGGAAGTTTTTAAAGTTCTCTTGTCGAGAAAAGGTAGGAGTCAATTGTTCTTTCTGTAATGAATGGATTGAACCACTCATAGATAGATGTCCGAAGCCTTTCCCGGATCATTCCTGTCTTCCCGTTTACCGTTACCTATCATACAACAACACTCCAAGGGAGGGCCGTAATGTAGACGATTGGCAGCCCAGAGTGCAGTTGAAGCGGGAGCATGGCAGTAGCAGGCTAGTTTTGTCAGATTCAGAAAGCGTAGCAGCATTTTCTGACAAGTTTATTGTTAAGCCAAAGTTTGTCGTTGAATACCTGACGCATCTCGATATGGTAGATTTAAAAAAGAAGAAGAGGGCTGAGAAGAGGGAAAAGGAAAGCCAGAAGGCGAAGGAGAAAAATTATGAAGATTATGCTTGGAAAGATTTGTGCGAGGATCCGACAAAACTAAAAAAGCTCCCAGAGCTAAACAAATACCTCAAACACCATAGGCTAGAAAAATATCTGAAGAGCACGAAAAGTGACAAGGTTAAGGTAATTACCAGACATTGGCTTCTCCAAATGAATCCTGAAGGAACTGATCTTCTACAAACAAGAATGGGAGAGAGAGACGAAGCTGAAAATGAACCTTTGCTAGACAGAGATAATGACGGTAGCGGACAAGACGACAACGTTGGAAGCAGAAGTAGCAGTGATGAGGAGAATGAAAATGATTACATTGACTCCGGTGATAGAGACGAATCAAGTGATGTCATTAATATTTTTGCCTTCATCGATGACGAAGAAGTTGAGAGGCCAGCCACAACACGTTCGGGAAGAGCCATAACCAGAAGATCAAAGATTGATTTTTCTTTTTATTGATTCTTCAACGAATTCAGAGCAAGCTAGCACATTTCTTTTTTCTGACTTTATAGTATACAGTTAAAAGTGACAGATACAATTGTACTGTGAATTGCAATACCTTGATAATGCCAAAATACTGTGTTACTTGACCGGACTTACCAAGGACATACGTGACATTGATGGGGCACGCAAAACAGCTGTCATCACCAGAGAATTGGTTAGGCTCAAAGTTGATATCGCTGCTTTACAGGAAGCGCGCATAGCTGGTTGCGGAGGCCTAATGGAAAAGGAATACACATTTTTCTGGCAGGGTAGAGATGAAGATGAGCCTAGAATACATGGAGTTGGTTTTGCTGTCAGCAACAAGCTAGTACAGATGGTGGAGCCGGGCTCAACCAAGTCTGAGGGCATCATGCACATAAAACTCAATACCGATCTAGGTCCCACCAGTTTGCTTTCTGTCTACGCTCCAAACCTGACTTCGAGTACCGATGCCAAGGATACCTTTTCCAGCCAATTGGATGATGCTATCAAATATATCCCAAACAACGAAGTGCTGATTCTCCTCGGCGATTTCAACGCTAGAGTGAGTAACGATCAAGGCTCCTGGCCTGATTGTCTTGGTCACTTTGGTGTTGGAAAATGCAATGAAAATGGTCAACGCCTTCTGGAGCTTTGCACCTATCATCACCTCTGTACTACAAACACATTCTTTGGTGTGAAGCTGCGCCATAGGTTCTCGTGGATGCACCCCAGATCCAAAAACTGGCACCAACTCGACCTCATCATCTCAA